AGCAGTCCTGCGCATTCCCTGGTAACAATCACATTCTCCCTTTCTGGAAAACAACTCAAATTAGAAAAAGACTGTGTTTTTAGACCATTTTTTCTTTGCACCATCCTTCACACTAATGTGATATTTGTGAAGCTTGAGTTAGATGTGACCTTGAACTTCAACTTTCTACTACAAAAGAGGAAGAGAAAAGGCTGGACCCAACTGGTGTTACATCCATACCTACTCTTTGGACACATGTGACCAACTTGCTATCCGTTATGACCTCCAGATAGATCTCCTCTTAGGTATCGGTTTGTTTTACTTGACCTCTGCCCCTTTTCTAGTTGGGAGCCACTGGCCTCTAAAAGCAGTGGACACTAGAACAACTTCCATTCGGTGAACAAATCATTGCTAGTGATCTGACCTTCAATACCTGCTTTCTCGTGAGGCTATCTAATTTCACAGAAAATTAGTACTTACACCTGCAAAGGTGTGGCTTTCCTGCCCCCACTTATTATCTCTCAAGACTCCTTAAAGAAGGAGATTAGCAATTTTTTATTTGGGAGAGGAAAGAAAATACTTAGAACATTTCTCATCTGTTAGAGGGTTTAAAGATGATGTGTTAGCTTTTGGGAAGTGTTGGCTATTACTTTAAATGGAATTTAAATTCTAATTTATTATTTTCTAAAATACAATCTCAGTGATGATGGGAGAATGTTCCATAGACTTTTACTTTTGAGGACACTTTTCTACCCAAATTCATGAGACCCTGGACTACCCCAGATCCTGGCAGGATATTCCCATCCATAAAGGCACAATCATTCTCAGGGGCCAGCTGGCAATAAAGAAGCAGCTTTCTTTTCGGCCGGGACCTTCGTTCCCTATATCGTAAGGACTGTGGGAGAGAGGTGCCCAGTTCTCAGACAGCTGCCGGAGAGAGAGCCGTGTCTAGCACATTACAAACGTGTGGTAATTGACTGATAATTTATGGTGTGACAGCCTTCTAACTCAGCAGTCCTATTCAGTCAGAAATTAACTCAGTAATCAAAGTCATTAAAAAGGAAACAAGGCACTATAGTACCAGCCAGATGGTGGGGAAATCTAATGCATGAAGGAAAAATGGCTGGTCTTTGAGTAAAACACTGGGCAGCAAAAGCTGGGTCCTCTGCCTGGTTCTATTCCAAATTCTAGCTTTAGCAAGGTTTCAGGCTGTCCTGAGTCTAGTGCACCCTAACCTCTCTGTGAGCAGGGGCGGTGCTGGTCAGATGGACTGATATGTAGGGTATCTGGCCACTGGCCCTGGCTGAGTTCGAGCTTTTAGTACACATGGAAAACTGAGAAAAGGAAGAGGGAAGCGTGTAGACCTGCTCTTAACATTTGTAAGGCCTTGGGCAAAAGTATGAATGAAAGCTCACATACCCTGTGTTTAAACATTTAAAAGTTAAAAGCTAATAAACTATTCACTGAGACATGTTCTAGCCTCTTGCCTTCACAAATATCTCTCCATGAGATCTGGACGGCCAAGTTCAAATTTAGATTCCTGAGCCCTGGGAATTCTCCACTTGAACATGGTGATGGGAGTAGGACTGGCCTCTCTCTGCCCTCTTTCCTTCCCACATCTGGTTCCATTGACATCATAAAGGGCCTCCAGCATATATAGCATCTGAACACCCCCCTATGTATCTGTGCTCTGACCAACGTCCCCAGACAGCTGTGCCTTGGATACTTTCAGGCGTCAGGACTATGTACCAGGCATACAGTCTGCCCTTAGGAGGACTGACCCGGGGAAGATGCCCGTGTAGCCCTGGAAAGCACTTTTCTCCACCATTTTCAAAAGAAAGGATACAGAGAAAACAGCATTGCAGCCTTTTTGTTGTATCTATGGGGAAGGAATTCCCTGGTCCCAGCAGTTTATCTAGAATGTGAGTCAGGGGCTCTAGATGGGCCTGTCCCATAAACTTCAAGGATTCCTTATTCCATGCAAGGGTGCTCTCCAGAAGAGAGAGAGAGTGTGAGAGCAGGACCCTTTGAGTGGGGGACCCTAAGCAGGAACCCCCCTGTTGGAATTTAAGAGCTACACTAGAAATGTGCTAAGCCCTGTTCTCACCATCATTCACATCTCTTACAAAACCCTCACCATGTTCCTAGCAGGCCACCAAAGGAAGCACTGCACAGGTACCTTTTGGTTCATAAGTCATAGATAGTTATCCCTGGCCTCACGTCTCCTTTAGAGCCAACAGCAGAGAACAGCAAAAAATATTCTGAACTCAGAGTTGTGTCCCTTCACATCTCTGAGCAGTGCTGGCAGAGACGCAGGCTGGGCTTCTACAACCTGACCCAGAAATGACAAACTTGACCACGTCGGCCAAGCCCAGAATCCAGAGCAGAATTCTGGACCATTCTCTCAACTACTGGACCATGGGTTCTGATTTGAGAGCTTGTGATCTTAAAGTATTAGCTACTGTGAAAGGCTGTGAATTTAAGACGCCCCAAGCACTTTTACTTTAGGAATTTGAAATGCAGTCTCACTAGGACGCTGTCTCCTTAACAAAGTAGTACCTTTAAAATATTTAACAACTTGAAAAGGAAACCAAGCTCAAATTTTCCTTTCAAGCACTAAGGAAATAGTGTTTCTCTTCTGTCTGGAATTTACCGTCTCAGACAAAGAAGGCTCTTCTGGTAAAAGCAATGGTCTTTTCTCCACCATTTTCAAATGAAAAGATGCGGAGAAAACAGCATTGCAGCCTTTTTGTTGGATCTAACAATAAAGGAATAATACAGTTTTGCCAGAGGAAAGCTTTGGTGTTAAGCTCAGAATACAAAAATAGGCTGACAAATCTTACAAAGGAATATTCTCAACTTCCACTCTGAGGCTCGTGAGAAGTGAAATTTCAAGAAAATTATATCATTTGGGGAGGAGGGGGATATTACGAGGATGATCAAGTCGATGAGGCCAATCTTAGATGAAATTCTAATAAAGAAATGTGATTTCCCCTTTCCTGCTAACCCCCTCCCCCACCCCCATGAGCCAGGCTGTACCTCCACCCCAACCCAAACCTGGCTTCCAGAAAGGGAATGGTGGGGGGACATTGCTTGCTTTGCAGCTCCCACATCTGGAATGCCCTCCCTGCACACTGTCCGGCTTCCCTTTGCTTGGCAAACTTTTCCTATGGCTGTGCCTGAGGAACCTTCCGTGATGTTGGCCACCCCCTCAGTGACAGCCCTGGCCTGTAGCTCCCCTACTCTTACAGTCACTGCTGTCCCTTTAATCATTGTTTTATCTATGTTCCCCACCTGATTTTACACTCTGTTAAAGCAGAAACCATATGCATTTCCTTTAATGTTTAATTCTCCATCACTATTCCCATGCTTGGCATGTAATAAATCTAGCTAAATAAATGAATGAGCGAATAAATCAATAGGAACTTAAGACGCTGTGTTGCTGCTCTTAGGGTATTTGAATGAACTATAATCAAAGAACCAAAAGCATTTACCCTCCCATGGAGTCATAAATGTAATGGGAGAGTATTTGGAGGCACAAGGCCCTGACACATTTTTTTGCGTTGCCTACCTGATGTAGTCAGGGCTTTTTTGGTGTGTGGTGGGGTAAGGAATTACAGTAAAAACTTTTGAAAGTAATACATAAAAACCAAAGGAATAGCTACCAACTGGTAAGCATTTATGCATGTCAATTCTAATGCCAAATGCTAATCATGTATTGTCTCTGTTATATGCATTTTATAGATAAGGAAATCGAGATTTGGTCATTTCAACTGCTTAACTTCACGGGTTGTGAACACAAATCGGTTTGATCTAAGTCAGAAAACCATCAGCAAGTTTCCTATTTACGAGCACCCCTTTGTGATGGCCTGGGACACACATTCCTCTGTGCTGCTGACCCTGCCCCCCCAGCCATCTGCTTCTGCCACTGTGCCACCCACCCACCTGGGGGTCCCCCGTTCTCCATTCTCAGGGGGAGAGGTCCTATCAGGTTGTTCAGGCACCAGTGGGTACAGATGCCACACCCTGCCAAGGTGGGCAGATCTCACCCAGGTGGCAGTTGCACCAGTTAGGATAGACTAGGCAACCAGTTAGTGATAGGTGAGAGAAAAATGAAAACAGTGGATTAAACAAAATAAATGTTTATTTTTCTCTCACATAAAAACCTAGTCCAGGCAGAAGTCCAGGGTTAATCTAGTGGCTCCAGGCCCCTGGGATCCAGATTCCTCCTTTCCGGTCTGGCCCAGTACATGGCTTCCAGTTCTGAGACCACCTGGTCCAAAGTGGGTGCTGGAGCTCCAGCCAACACTTCCCTAATCAGACACAGGAAGGAGGAAGGCCCCAATACACGCAACCTTAAGGACACTTTCCTGCCCTTACATCCCAGCCACTCCCAGACAAACAACGTAGTCTTTATTCAAGGCTCCATGCCCAAGTAAAAATCCTGAGCTCCGTTACAAACAAGAAAAACAGATAACTCTCTGCCTCAACATCTTATCCGTGGCTCTTTTGGCTCAGGGGCTGCTCTGGGCAGCTGCAGCCAGGTGGGAGCTGCAGGAGTCATGTGACCCTCTGAAGGGAGCCCTAGCACCTTCCATGGGCGGCTGTGTGGCTGGCACTCATCCTTCATGACCTGTGAAGTATTCTGAGAAATTTGTTCAGAGAAATGCTGCTCTCCTGAAGCCACAGCACAGCAGTGGCTGCTTTGTAGCCTGAAAGTTTGTGCTTTTAAGATGCCCAGCGACTCCGCCCCCTCACCACGTACAGTCTTGGCCTTTGTAAGATCAGGGACCCCCAGGGGTCATCCCACTCAGAGCCATCATCCAAGCACCACCCCCCATTGGGTAGGGAATCAGGCTCGTGACTGCTAATTTGAAATGATATACTTGTGCAGAAAAATGTGAATGAGGGTAACGGTAAAAGGCTCTCTCTTGTTTGCTCTCTTTTGTTTCCACCCCCTCCCCTGCTTTTACCATCAGGAAGTACGTGTCCCAACATGTTGTTTGTTCCTTCTCTTGCAGGCTCCTGTGGTTGCCTTGTCATGATTTTGTTTGCCTCTGAAGTGAAGATTCACCACCTCTCAGAAAAAATTGCAAATTATAAAGAAGGGACTTATGCCTACAAAACACAAACTGAAAAATACACCACCTCATTCTGGGTCGTTTTCATCTGCTTTTTCGTTCATTTTTTGAATGGGCTCCTCATACGACTTGCTGGATTTCAGTTCCCTTTTGTAAAATCGAAAGACACGGAGACAACGAATGTAGCTGCGGATCTGATGTACTGATAGGCAAACGTTTCTGTCGTTTTCCAAGGCAGTGAGTGGACTCGCTTTGGTCACTTGGGTCTGGTTCATTCTGTCCGTCCTTTTAAATGCCCCAATTAAAGCACCCAAACTCTCGGTGATAATGTTTACAAACTATGTACTAAGGACACAGGCCGGAAAGCAAAGGGAGCAGAGGGAAGGCTTTGGAAGGCTGTGTTGCCTGGTGGGAAGTGGCTCCACCCGGGTGGTCCAGGCAGTCGGCCGGAATGGACAAGTTGTTGCCCTGAACACACATCAACGTGCACGATGCCTGTCCGTCCTGGAGGAATCAGAAGGCATGGGGAATATACTTTAATACGAACAAACACCATTTCTGATCTACCCACATTTGTTGCTACAGATACCAGAAAAGAGCACTAGAATAACTTTGTAAAATGATGATGCAGTAAATGAGCTTTTTAAAAAAAGTTTATTTAAAGCACAGTCTTACTATCTATCTAATAGTTATAGATAGTAAGACTGGTTATAATTTACAAAGCTCTCAGAGTTAAAAAGAAGAAAAACCAAGCTAAGGGTATCTTAGCTTCTGTGCCTACGACCTGACTGCATTCACACAGTGCATACGAGGGGGAGAACTGCGAGGCCCACTGAGGAATCGTGAAACATGAGTTTTCTTAGTGAACTTGATACAAAATGACCCATAGGGGCTGCTGCTTCCTACTTCAGTGTCTTGAGCACTAATTCCCAATGATGAAAACTATGTTACATTCTGGGATCATGATGGTAGCACTTTGTCCTCTTGGTTTCTGGTCTGTCAGTTGCAAAGCATGACCCAGGTCAATCTCCTCCCCCCCGCCCCAATTAGCCATGAAATTGATCCGTGGCTGACCAACTGAGCTCAAACCAACCCTTCCTCTCTCCTCAACCTCCTGGCCTCAAAAAAGCACAAAGAAGAAGCAGAGAATGACAGAGAACACATCACCAGGCCCCTCGCCATTGTTGCTCAATACTTAGTGCTCATTCCAGGGTTTTGAAAGTGCTTGTAGGAAAAAAAACAAAAACAAAAAAAGCCTTCTTCCCTTTTGGAAAACTTGACAAGAAATGAAGACTACTCGCATACCTGGGAAATGACTTACACTGGTGGTGATCAGCCCACGGGCTGACTTGACACCACACCCTCCATTTCCAGATGCTAGTCCCTCTTCCTTCATCCAGGAAACGCACCTGGAGAATTTCTGGATGACCACGAGCCAGTCTAGTGATTAGGGGACATTTGGTTCAGTGATGAGCTAGAGACTATAAGAAAGAAGAAGTCTTCAGCTGAAATGGTTAAACACATAGAACTGGTAGAATTGGTAAGCTAGGAGTGGGCAGGAAAGAAGGATACCACCCTGTGGGTAATTGGCCTGAGATCCCTGGGGCCAAATTCCCCACAATTGCATTTGACACCTCTCCCTCTCTCTCTTTCTCTGGCTCAGAGGTTTAAAAAACTTCTAACACCAAGGTTTCTTCTTTAGAAAACAAGTCTCTGTTTGTTTTCTATAAAAAGAGAAAACTTGGAGCCGCAGCTGAAAATCCAACGACAACCTCCTTGCAAGCAAACTAGCAATGTTCCTTGGGGGGAAGTAGAGGCTGGGCTGCCAGTTTCTACAAACTGTGCTGCAGACAAAAAGAAAACGAGATACAATCTGGCCCTCAGAGGAGTGCACATAGTTGTCTTCTTGTCTTTTCTCAGATGAAATGTGTGGTCATTGGTGGCCTAAGGGTAGCCCTTAGAAGGGGGGTGTGGCCGGGATCAAAGACTGGGGAAGTACATTCATTGTGCTGTGTGGGACCTCCCACCCAGGTGGCGGCCAGCCTTCCCACATTCTCACAGGAACACAGGGCCCCCTGCAGGCTCCGGGGCCACAAACACAAGGCCACATTTGGGAGCTTGGTTCAGGTGGTTGGCAGACACCCTCAACACCAAGAATATCAGCGCTTACTATGCAGTGGGAGAGAATGGCAAGAAGCTATGAAAGCCAGCTGAAGTCCTCTTGTGTAGGTAGACCCTGCAAGGTCACTGGAATGGGAGGAATCTCCTGAACTGTGCAGACAGGACAGGCTACAATGAGAAAGAGGGGCGCACTTTACAGATGACAAAGTTCTTTCCCTCTGGTGGTCCCATCTACTTCTCCAAAACAGCCTCTCTCAAGTCAGTTTATAAGCTTTCAATATGGGACGTGGATGAGTTTGGCTGGGCTCACACATATCGCAACCCTGGGGCACATCCTTTTTCCTCCCTCTGCACAGTTTCAGGGGGAGAGGGAGTGGGTGGAGGGAGGAGGGGTTCGCACTGGCCACATTAGCGTGCACCAGCTCCCAGCTTGCTGACAGAAGGGACATTGGCCCCAACCATTTATCCATCAATACCTGAACAACAACCAAGGGTGACTGGAGGGGATGTGGACAGCGGAAGAATGGCCCCCTCTCTCAACTGTCCTCAAACTCGCCCCTTCCAGTAAGATCCAGTGTAGGTGAAAATAGCGTGGTTGTTATAAAAACGCTGCTCTAAGACCAGTCCCAGGCCACCTGCCCTAGTGTCCGAACTGCGTGCTGGCCCTGATCGCCTCTACTCAGATACTCGGAGTCTGTGCTATTGGGGCACTCAGCGTTGGGTCCCCATGGCAGGTGTTCATGACTCAGGGCAGATAAGCCCCTTCCTCCAAGTGATAAGGGGCAGAGCCCTGCTGACGGGCAGAAAGAAAGACTGGGCAGGTCTGGGGTCCCGGATTCTGGGATGAAATTCCCCTTCGGGGGAAAAGCCTTCTTGTTCATCAAAATGCTAATATAAACTCGATAAACTTAGATTTATAGAATTTGTGATCCCGCCACCCCCACCCACTTACGTAACCGGACATACCTGCGGTGTCACAGCACAGAGGTCACCAGGCTATTTCTGAAGCCCAGAGGGGCCCGAAGCTGACTGGGTGACTCAAGTCAGAAATCTCCAGAGAATGTCCCTTGTGGGGCCTAAAGGACAGTCTCCAACAGTATCAGACCCGAGGGTGGGGTGGTGGGGAAGAACAGGTATGGTGCTGTGTGAGCCACCCGATTATTAAAGGCAAGTGTCTTAAAGGATTGTGTTGCGTTGCTAGAACCCTGGTCTGAAGGATTTTGACCTCCGAGAGTGGACAGAATGAGCAGCAAGGCAATGTTTCCTCACTAGGCCAAAGTCCACTGCTGCTGATGTGGGTCATGACTCTAATTCTGGAGGGAAGAGAGACGCAGGCACTCCTAAAAGCCGCTGTTCTCTGCCTCCCCCGCCCAGTAAGGGGCACATGGAGTGGGGGGCCTGGGCACCTCAAGCAATTCAAACCCATGCCCTCCCAGAAACGTGCGATCTCAGTGCACATGAGCTGCTCACCTGTCCTGAAGTTTCCTCGTCTCCTATTTGCCACGTCCTTAACCTGGGCAAAAAGTGGATGTGTCTGACTCAACAGTATGCATTCTGGATGCCCCATGAATTTGTACTTCAATTGCTACCCTTCCATTTAACCAAGTACAATAAAGAGTGTGTCCTGGTACAGGTAAGGACAGCGTCTGCTGGACATCCCAGGCCGGAGACCCCAGTCGACACTGGTGTGTTCCCTTTTCATTGGCTGCCATTTCAATGCTCTCTTCACACTCCTTCGTTGCCACCCTTTCCACACTGACTCTCTGTGGTAGACAGTACTGCGTGTTCCCTACCGCATTCTCCTTAGGTACACAGCTAAACTACATTTCTCAGCCTCCTTTGCAGATGGGTCTGTGTGGGTGAGTCCAGACTGGTAGGATGTAGGCCGAAGTGACTCACGCTACTTCCAAGCCCGGCCCTAAAGAATACTCCATGCCGCCCTTCAGTTTTATCTCCCCCTGGTATTGCAGCCTGGGAGGTTGTGGGATCCTGAGGGCAAGGCTACAAAACAGAGACAGGCTTTGTGACCTGCACTGGAGTGTGACAAGAGTGATAAAGCAACTTTCTGTAAAGCCACTAAGTGTGGATAGTAAAGCCACTATCCACACTTTCTGTAAAGCCACTAAGTGTGCCTGCCATAGCTGGTCCTCTTCTCCGGGATAGCTCTCCTGTTTCATGCCAGTGGAACACTGCTCTAGGTCTCTCGGGAGTAGCCCAAGGCCAGTGCACCCTCTGCCACCACTGTCCTTGAAGCTGTGGCCCTCTGGTCACATAGCCCATCACCTGCTGAAATGAGGACCAGAGAGAGAAATTTCTGCAAAATCTCTAAAGAGTAAATAAACACCTTTGCTTATGCTGGCATCCTTCACAGTTCTTTCCAAGTGGCAATGAATAAGCCCTTCTTCATTCATTCGAAAAGATTTTATGTTGCATATGATCTGCAACGGATCTAGCTGTGTGTAAGGCACAAAAGATTTGGGGGAGGAAATGTAAAAAAAGAGTAAGAGATTTTTTTCTACTTGATCTTTGGTTAGCAGTAAAGAAGACTTTCTTTCAAGACATTTCCTTCTTTGTTTTTTTTCTTCTTAAAGTTCACTTTATTATTAAAAGCAGAGTTTTCAAAGTTTCCCGGTAAAAAAGAACAAACTAATCAGATGAGATTCCTTTACTATATAAATTAACCCCCAAAATCAACAATTAGAGTCTCAATTTCCACAAAATGCTGTAAGAACTATGCACTTCATTAGAAAATGCCAAGTACAGTTTTGTAATGTATCTGAAAGAGCTAGTGGGGAGGTTCCATCGCTGTCGGAGTTTGGAGGTGTTGCCTGAGGGGTGCTTGGTCAAGAAGCCATTCTCCCTTCCATACATTCCCCATGCCCCCCCTCCTGTGGGAATTTTCCACAGTTCTGGGTCAGACGAGGCCTGAGCAAGTCCTGGGGCAGCACAGGGAATGTAGTAGTAACTTAATAACTTTGTGTGGTGACAGATGGTTACTGGACTCACTGTGCTGATCGCATTGTAAGGTATATACATGTCGAGTCACTGGGTCATACACCTGAAACTAATACAATATTGTACGTCAATTGTACTTTAATTAGAAAAAATCTTGGAGCCCGAAGCAGTATCCCTCCCGCAGGTTGGTTGGCCAGCAACCTACTTCCTGCCGCCAGCTTGGGCTTCATGAGA